CTGAGCATGACGTCCCATGGTATGGAATGTCCTTTTGGGCAGTTGGGGTCAGCTGTCCTGGCCGTGCCCCCTCCCAGCTTCTTGTGCACCTCCAGCCTTCTCAGTCGGTAGAGGTGGGAAACTGAGAAGTCCTTGACTAGTGTAAGCATTACCTGGCAACAACTAAAACATCGGTGTGTTATCAGCATTGTTCTGGTCCTAAATCCAGGACACAGCACTGTACCAGCTACTAGGAAGGAAATTAACTCTATCCCTGCCGAAACCAGGACAATGGTTAGTATGTAATCTCTTCATGAAGTTATGAGCTGTGTAAATTAACTTTTATTTTTTTGAAAGGTTTGTGTAGCTGAGTTTCTAATCTGAGCTTTAAACTTAGTGTAGCTTTGCAGTATCGCAGGGGAAATGGCCAGGATTTGGAAGGTAAGTTTAAACCCACACTAATTCTGGTAGGGATTTGTTTTTCTCAAATACCAGATTTCTCATCTGTTGAATAGATAAGCCCTTACATCAGCAGGGAGAGATACAACTCTACTAAGACAGTTAACAGGGTTGAAGGAGATGAGGAGATTTGTGTATTAGGAGTCAGTGTGGTTAGCATGTCAACAGGTTTATCTAAAATATATTTCTAGTTGGATTATAGTTCCTTTTATTAGTGTCTATCCTTTACAAGAGGTAAGAACTAAAAAAACCCCAAAAACGGAAAAACAACCCAAGGCAAGATCAGGACTCTACTATACAGGAGTGTAGAAGTAGCAGGGAATGAGCTAGCTAAGCAGCGCCCAGGAAAGAAACCATCCAGTGCTCCTTTTAGAGCACAGTGTGATTGTTAATGTCAGTGGATTCAGAGGACTTGGAGGAGGTCTGGGAAGAGGTCTGCTAGGCAGTGGTGTGAAGATGCTAATCACTGTCCATTCACAGCACAAGTGTTGAACAAATGCACCTTGGTGTAATAAATTAAGATGTCAAACTGGAGGTGCTTTTTCAGTGCTTAAATTTCAAACACTTTTGTGTCTTTGAAATCAATTTATATATTTTTATGAGTGATATATAGGTGTAAACATGCAGATGATCTGCACTCGACCTCTTAAGTTGATTGCTTTTCCAATCGTAAACTGATAGTTTCATTCAGAAGCTTTTTGGAATCCGTGGAATATTGGTAATGCACAGACAGAATAACTTTACATTCTTTAGCATTCTATAACTAATGGTTATCGTGGCTATATGTAATGTGTACTGAGTATCATAGTTGACTATTCTTACTGGTACATTTGGTATATTTGAAAATCTCGACTACGTAGAGCTTTTAAAGGAATGTACTTAGGCCCTCTACTGATCATTCTGAGAATAGGAAAGAGGAAAAACTGCCGTGCAGTATTAAAATGCTGGCAAAACGGGTCTTTCTGGAAATGGGAAGATAAATGTAGGAAGAGGATACAACTAAAAACTGTTCTATTTAAACAGGGCCATTCCCTAGGATTCTTTTTAGAAAGATCTTAAAAAAAAAAAAAACCCCAAACCCCAAAATACCAATTGCAGAAAGACAAGTTATCCTGTTTTGAGATGATGTAAAATAAAATCCATTAAAAGATCAAGTTTGCAAAGAGGCCCTATCCCAATGCCTTTTTTTCCTTATGTTTTAAAAATACCTATTTAAAATCTAGTGCATTCTGCATTCAGGCTAGAACCATAACAAAGTTAAACTAAGGGCAAGTTCCTGATAGTAACACTTGTCAAATCTTCTCTGAAGTTTTAAGAGTCAATTGAGGAGGTCTTTTACGGTCAGGTAATCAGGCAATCTGAGTACAAGTGTTTAGTTGATATGCTTAATTCTGAGAAGCTGCTTGAAAGTGTCAAATCTCTGAGCACCGCTTAGCATCACTTTCTCCCTCATTTTTGAGTGTGGGTATGTCAGGGAATGTTTTGCTATGTTTTTCCAAGTGTTTGATTGTAACATGAGTTATTGAGTCTAGAGCTGTTTATTTGGAATTGATCAGTATCATCATATCTTCTTGTATACCATTGATTTCTGTGTATTGATACTTTAGTTCAGACAGTGTGGTTACTGCACCACACTTCTGTATGCTTGCAGCTTCTTAAACCCTAGTTAATAAATCATGTCAGCTCTTTATTAGCTAATGTGTATTTACAGTGCTTTGAAAACATGAAGTGTCAGGCAAGCATCAGAACTTTCAGAGGTGGGCCAGTAGAAGAACATTACAAAATGCTATGATGAGAAATGATACAATACTGTATCAAAGTGAAACTGTGGGGGGATTTTAGGAGAAAACAAGTATCAGGATGGGCTTTATGCTTCTGAAGTCCATGCTACTATTATTCCTATTACAAATATTTAAAAAAAAAAAAAAATTTAACAACCCACTTGGAAATGTGTATCTGCATTAGCACAATACTAGTGCAACATTTACTGATGCAACTTCCTTCCAGAGGTCCTCCTAGCCTCCTCACAGCTCCCTTCATCTTGCCTAAACCTTTTTCCTCCAAAACAAGGTGACCTCATCTAAACTAGGTTTGAGAGCAGTCCCTGGCGTATGCTGTCCCCAAAACTGTGCTACCCCAAACTCTGGGAAGGTCCTTTTTGGCCTGGTCTGGAAACAGATTGGTGAGAGTTAGACAAGTAGACAAGCTAGACAGCCTTGGCCAGTGGCTTGACTTTGCCAGGCTGTGTATATTTGCTAGTATAGGTGTAGCTGTGGAGTCACTGAGCTTATTCTTTGGTGTTTTCCAGATTCCTGTTGCTCTTTTCCATGATGTCATGGACCAATTGCTGCAAACCAAATTTGGCAGCTCTTGTCTGATTTGTCTCGTACTAGAACAGGGATAAAGGTGCATGACCATAAAATTCAATAGCAGAGAAATTCTTAAAAAACATCATTAGCTTCTAACCTAGCAGCAGAGTCCTGCTATGCCTTGGTACTCGCAGATAAGTGAGTGCAGCATGTGTGTCAAAATAAAAACACATGAAAAATAGTAAGACAGGAAGAAAGTAGAAAAGTACGTATGATAATTAGGGTTGCATTACTCAGTGCATTGGAAGGCACTTGAACACCGGTACGCTCCAGAGGGTTAGAGAGCCACACAAGATCCCCAGGGTGAAGGTTTTTGTGAAGTGTTTTTCTTGGTAAAGAAACCAATAAAAGTGAGTTTTGAAAAGTCTTTGTACATTATTGCTGAGTGTGTCCATAACAGCAGAGCTTGTAATTTTGAGTTCACTGCTCTTTAGCTCTCTTCCTTTTTCACTACTTCTTCTTTTCTTTTCTTGTTTTTCCTCTTAATTTTATTTCCTTAGATCTAACTGGCTAAAACCATGCTGTGGGAGACGAGCAGCTGTGTGGCAGGTATTTTTGCTCAGTGCAAGCCTCAACAGTTTCCTGGTAGCCTGTGTAGTATTGGTGGTGATTCTTCTGACTCTGGAACTCCTAATAGATATAAAGCTTCTCCAGTGTGAGTAGGAGGATTATTATTTTTTTTTTAATTTTGATGAAATAAAGGCTTAACGTGCTGGGAGGTGTTTGAAGGGGGGGAGGATGGTGGGGATTTTTTTTTCCTACCATTTAAATGATTACTAGGCTAGGTAAGAAATGTGTTTTTGTGGAACCTTGGTATAGTGAAGTCAGTCTCTTCCTTATTTTGCTGACCAAATTCAGTACAGGACAAATTTTCAAAGGATACAAGTAGAGTGTACGTGCAGAGATCTGCACATATTGTCATTAGTACTGGAAAAGGTCTGTCTTACAGACACACTGTATACACTGAAGAAAGATCATTTGTGCGTCACTAATCTCTGATACTTTTCATGTGCACGTGGATAGACAGAAGCGATGAACTTGGTACTATCTCTATTATTAATTTACTTCAACTGAGTGGGTAGGAATTGAAATTATGGATTTCTATCTTGTAATGCACTGAAATGATAGAGATTTTCATTCTACTTTGCTAATACACTGGGAGTCAAACAATAGCTTAAATGGAGTTTTGCTTTATCTGAATTCACTCTACGCAGGTTCCACAATGGAAATTTTAATGCTGCTGTTTTGCTTCCTAATTCATCTTTTTTTTTCTACTGCTCTTTTCCTCCATTCCCCCCACCTTTTTTTTTTGCTTTTATGATACAAAGCTGACATGAACACAAATACCAGCTACATTTTTCCCTATGCTAAATGTTGACGAGCAGCCTCTAGCATCTCTATAGAATCTCAGATATGTTGAAATGGCAGTGATGGGGTTCAGACAATCCCATAAATACAAGAATACATAGCATGAGAGAGTCACGGTCTGGTATCTTCTATGGCAACTTTAAACTGAGCAAACGAACTTTGTATTCTGTTGAAGTCCTTTTATTTTTGTGATTTGTCAATTGATACTAGTGGAGTTAGATTTCACTGTAAAGATTTAGGTATTGCAGTTTTATTAAGATTACTTTAGGGGACTTTATTGATAATTGCAGCTATTTTATAAACCCTGTGAGATGAATAAATGACTAAGCTGTCTTTCCACACCGTTGCCCACCATTTACACCCCTGTCTGTCTATACTGCACACACTGTTCTGAACATGGCCACTCCGTTACAGTTGTTATTTTCTGTAGTCTCTGTTGATTTACCATTTTGGATGAGGAAGCCCAGAATTTGGACAAGTCTGCTACCTTCAAAAAAAGTCAGGAATGCTAATTATGGGTGTAAGTCCTTAAAAATTGAATGAGGAAGAAGCTTTCAAGAGTATTTATTGAGGTGCCACATCTTTCTGTTAATGTAGAGAAATGTCACTTCCTGTAGAGCCAGAGTTTAAAAACTGTTTCTGTTGATTTCTCTTAGATTTTCAACACAGTTTTGGAGACTCTTCTCTGGAAGCACCTGCTTTCTTACCATTTATTTTCTGAAGAAGGCTTTCTTTTAGGGATCATTCCTCCTCTATGTGTCTAGTGCATGTGATACTCTTAAAAGCTCTGCAGCTTACGCCTTGTGCATGACCTATAGGTGTCTGGTCAAGCCAGGTGATTTCACTGCCCCAGCCTGTATGGATTTTCTCAGCACCTGAGAAAGGACCCATTCTGCTCTATGTTGCTACTTTGCGTTTTAACTAATGCATCAACCCATCAGGCTTCTTGCCTTTGTTACGTTGAATACCTTCTATTTTGTTTTAAATCAGATAAAGGCTGTCTTGGTGGGGCTGATACAAGTATTGCAGTTGTGTCATATGAGGAATGTGTGTCACTTACCTTAAGGTTTTAAAAAGCCATTAGGCCATAATTATGTTTTTCAAAAATGTAATTACGGTTTTAAATGATTCCTTGTGCTATATGAAATCAACCAATGCATTAGGACATGTTACAGCACATCACTGCCAATTTTGTTCATAATAACAACTGCTAATCCACATTAGAGACTGTAATTACTTAGGGAGCCTCCTTTTTTTAAAAAAAAAACAACAAAACAAACTGGTGTTTTCTTTGGCTGTGGCATTTTGAGAGCATCATTTTCCTCTCATACTTTTAGTGCAGTCTTTGGTTGCACTGTGCACACTTCTCCCATACATAAAACTGTCAGTGCCAGTGATGGAGACCACATTTGCAAGTGTGTAGGTCACACACAGGAAAAGGACAGAGACCTTTTAGGGTATTTTATCACAAAGCATATTCATGCCGGAATTAGAAACCCCAGAAAGCAGAGGACATGTAATAGGTCTTTTATATAGGTCTCTGTCCTATAATCAGCTTTTTTAGTCCTATCTTCAAAGCTGTTCACATGCATTAACAAAATAATGTCTTAATACCTTGTGATGTTTTGCAAATGCAGAAATAGATGTATATCAAGTCACTTGCACCTCATTTCAAAAAAAGAGGGTCATGGCAGGTTCCAACCCCCACTCCTCAGAAATATAGAGCCTGCTGTCCCTTTCTCGTCTTCAGTAGTTTTGGGGGAATGCTACTCAGGAAATCATCTTAGTATTGCCCTCCTTCTGCAATCAACTACAGCAGGTGTGTCTGTAAAAGGCATCAGGCCTTCCTGAAAACTGTGAAGCTGAAAGCTCCGCTCCTGTCCATTTGGTTGCTGGATCAGGGCCCTGTCTGAGTACATGCATAGCTGTGCAAAGAAAGTGCACGTTGCGGTGCAGCAGTGCCTCAGTCAGAACGGGTTCAGGGCTTGCCCAGACCATGCAGTGAGCATCTGCTGCCTGCTCCTTGCAGAAGCAGTATGGTTTGTATCTGCCAGGAAATCATCATCAAGAACAACATCCACTGAAAGCAGGCGCTGGTAATACAAGCTTCTATAATGGCCACTCAGGGTTTGTCAGGATGTATTCTTCATCCCTCCCCTCCTGGATATACATTTTGAGGAGATGGGAAAGGGAGGGAAAGGGGGAGGAGATAGTCTGAGGTTGGCTGTACTCTGAATTTTATACTGAACCATCTTCTTCATGACTAAAAAGCATCTGGATTTGCATTCACTTCTTCCCCGTAGCACCAGACATGCAAAATGTCAAATAAAGCAGAACTTTTTGGCTTTTAGCTACAATTTGGGGGAAAAAAGGTTAAAAGTTCAACAAATGTGAAACTCTGTTCCAGATAAAAGTAGAAGCTGAATAGCTTAGGTGCTTTGCCTCAAACTGAATCCCAGTGATGTATTCAAACCACCACAGAGCAGGGGTGAGCGCCTCTTGGAGAAGACCCTTCTCCCGTTTTTGTAGTTTTTCATTGCATTTTTGAAAGGGAGTGTTTTGGAAGAGGCAAATATCCAGATTTGGTGTATGGGCTAGTGATTCAGCTCTTGTACAAAAGCTTCTTGCTTGGAAGGCTTTTTCAAATTTACTGTTTTACTGGCAATTTAATTGCACACTGTCTGGCAGCGCATCCAGTGCTCTGTTACAGTTAGTGCAGCATCAGAAATTGATTTTCTTTCCAAATTCGTGGTTGCTATATCTTTTTTGTCCACTAAGGGGCAGCTAGAGCCTTGTATGTCAATCGAGAGCTGTTGGAGAAACAGCTTACAAATGGTTTCCATTTCTTGTTCTTTATGCCACCCTCTAAAGACAGTGTCTTGGGAAAGTTAAATGTATTATATTTTGCCCATTTGTTTCATTTTAAAGTAGTTCCTCTGCTGCACAACAGCAAACTCTCTCTCATCAAGCCCAGCTGTGAGAGTTCCAGTGGCAGCCCATACGAAGTTTTCTTTGTATCCTGATTTCTTCCTACATCCCTTCCCTCCCCTTCCCATTTTAATCAGTTTTAATTTTAAAATAAGATGCTTTATTTAGTGCATGCCCTGTATGTTCTTGGGACTTAGTTAATTCTGTCACAGTCTTGCATCTCTATGCACACGGCCATCAATTGCCTTAAACTTTGCTGTTACACAGTAATTCTTTGAAACTGCAAGACCGCACAGACTATTTTAATCTGTCTGCTGTAGGGATGGTAGACTCACAAATACCCTGAAGTAAAGACAGAATTTTTTGTCTTCATTCCCTTATTCCAAACTTGAGAGCATGTGACCTTCAGAGTAGGAGTTGCCAGCAGTTCAGATACTGGACCCTTTCAGCTTTCTGCTTTGTTTTGCCAGCAATGAAGGGAACTTTGATCACAGAATTTCAGTTGAACTTACTTATTAAGGAATCTTCCAGATTTCAAGAGATTCATTTAAGCCCATAAAGGCAACCCATATCATAGAGCTTCTTATGTAGTCTTGCAGCAAACTCATTTGTCTGAGTTTATTTCATTTTACTTACAAAGCAAAATAAGTTGAATCAAATGAAAGCCTGATTTAATGCCAGTGAGTGTCTGTGCAAGGCTTTAGTACTCTGTAAAATCATACTTCTAATAAATTCAGATAAGTTTTCCTGAGTGTTCCTGCTAGTCAGTTCCTGAAAGGACTTTTGTTCAAAGTCATTCCACTTTGAAAGTGGAATAACTACCTCAACAATCTGCATGCATAAAGAGTACCTATATGGGAAGTTAGTGTGTAGAATCCAGAGTTTCATAAATTACCATTTTAACTTACCCTTTACAGACTTCTTTTCATGGAGGAGTTTGAAATGAAGTGAACATAAGTGATTTTAATGGCTACTGTCTTGCTGAAAAAGAGTGCTTACAAGGGAAATTGTGTGTCTTAACCAATTACTTAAACTGGAATTTTATTTCATGTACTGTAACTTTCTTGGGTGTTCTCGTAGAAACTTGCTTAAAGACAAAGCTGTCCATGACAGCCACGTTTCCTGAAATAGACTGTACAAAAATAGTCACATTATGTTTGTTGTACAAATTAGAATTGCTGATATTTCACAAACTTCTTAAAATTAATATGTTAAGATTTGATCTTATTAACAATGACATTGGTTCTTTCTGTTGCTTCTCTCGCTATAGTTTTCCTAGAGTCAAACTTGACTCTGAGAGGAATGGGATTCTGAGCCAGTCACAGCTGTCATGCCACATCTGGAGAGCTGTACAAAAGTCTACCAATCTAGGTTATTTATTTAGATGATAGAAAAGTATTTTGAAGCCCAGTTTGAGCACTAGTTTTTAAGCACCTGTTCCAGATAATTACTGGTCTTCTGAGCTGAATTGTCAAAAGACTGAATACAAGGAATGTTGTGGGGATAGTAGAGCATTCTTTTTCCTTACAGGATTCTAACTCTGGGTTTTTAGGTATACAGGATTTAGTCATACATCTCGTACTAAAGCAGTGCATGGAGTGAGAGCATGGAGCAGTGACAGAGCATCAAAGACCCAAAATGTGTATGTCAGCACTTACCGGCAGTCTTATCTGTAAAAACTCCCATGAACAGCTGCTGTGGCTGCTAACATGCTGGCCTGAATTAGGGTGAGCAGCTGACAGGGCTGGAGTTCCATGTCCCATTACATCCCATCCCCTTTCTGGTACTTCTATTACAAAATTTAAGAAAGCAAGCTTCATCCATATGTAAGTTGTAGCAGTACTAATTATATTAAACGTAAGTTGCATTCTGCTACTATAATGATGCTTCATTGTATTGTGTTAATTGCAGTTTCAAGTGCTTCACAGTTTGCAGGAATAATTCACTGGATCAGCCTAGTCATCCTGTCTGTTTTCTTTTCAGAGGTACGTATAATCAAAGTCTTTCACTACATACAGAACTGCAAAGTATTTTTATGCTGTCACTGGAATTAGCAAGAGTTTAACAGTAATTTGACTGTGATAAATGTAGCACAGTGTACAGAAAGAAAGTGTAAAAAAAAATAAAAGAAAAAAAAATTAACAGTTGCCGCTCCTACTGAGCAAACTAAAAAATCTTGTTTAGATTAGCACTGTTTGTCAGTTGCATAGAATTGGCAAGGAAACATGGAAGATACTGTCTTACAAATTATAACTGGAAGACTACAAAAAGAAATAATCATCTCCAAAGTGCTACAGGCACGGAACAGGACTAGTTTCATCCATTTGTTCTCACAGAAATCTTATCAGTGTCACTGGGTATAAGGTATAGGAATAAGATACATTATTAAAGAATAAAGATCCACAGTTTTTTTCTACAAAAAGATCTGTTTTAAGAATGGAATTATCTCCTCTCACAATTTATGTAGGTAGTTTAGATGTTCTAGGTTGCTGCATATAGACACAGTAAGAGAATGAAACAAATGGTGAATTTCTTTGCAAAAATTTGTATGAGTGTATGCATTGGAAAAGGCTGTAGTCGTGATATAACAAACGACCAAACTGGGATAATCTGTTTTAGTTTTCAACTTTATTCCAAAAAGAAGTCATTGGTATTGAGACATTTAGACTACTCCTGAAATATCCCAAAATATTTTTAAGGCTGTTTTTCCAGGTCATAATGTGTTACTTGTCACAAAAAAGCATTTTATGTTTGTTAAGTTGGAAGACAGCTTGGACTCAAATATTTAAAAATATTTTTTCTAGTTCCATAGGAGAAAATATTATCATTCAAACAGATGTTAGTCTTCACTCTGCGGTTAATTTAGGTGAAGGTTACAAAAAAAATCCCGTCAAAAAACAGGGAGCTGTGATATCCGCAAACGATTTGATAGATCACTTGTGTTGAATTCATACTCACCATATTATACTACTGCTTATTTCCATGGTTCTATTAATGAAATACATTTATTTACATATATCACTTTGTGTTTCTACTTTGTATTTCTACTCATAACAGGGATTTTCTAGCTGGTGTTGCCAGACTGTCAGTGGGTACTTTCTGAAAGGATTCCTTGTTAACAGGCAGGGGTATCCTAGCCTTCTGGTGCTGCAGTTACACAAATAGATATGATTACTTTCCCCATCGTTTGACGGTGATTGTGGGTTGTAGGATACATGTAAACTGACTGAAAAAAAGACCTCTAAACAATTAAAAAATTTTGCGGAGTCTTTCCTTTGTGAATTGCACATCCTCATTCTCAAAGACTCAGGTTTGCTAGATGGAGTCCATTCCTTGTAAAGAAACACTTTCCCCTCTCCCCCAGGATCTTTCTTCAGTGGGGATTAGCACCCTGGAGCTCCCTGTAATCCTGAGCTTCCCAACAGGATCAGCTTGTAACTCTGCTGCTAGCAGCATGGCTGCACATGCACGCTTACCTGATCTTCATCGCTTTCTGGAGCTTGTCTCACAAAAAACTTCTCCTGTGGTCCTCAATTTCCTTCTGGTGGGGTGTAGTCTCAAGTTCTGTTTTCATTCACTTTTACCACCAACCACTCTTCTCAAACCCTGACACAGTGCCTTGCCTCTGTATCCCTTCCATAGTTCAGTTCATATGCTGACACTTTTTGGTTGGTTGGTTGTGGCAGTGCAGGCAGATCCTCAAGGCCAGTATTCATCTGTCTCAAGGAAGAAATTAGCTGTTTCAGTTCTGCTGAGACGGAGTACCCACATAAGTGGATGAACTGGTTCAGAAGTGTTTTGCAGGAAAACGATAACAGAAATACTTCACAGAGCCAAAACTGGTTGCCTGATTCACCATCCTCATTTTGGATGTGTTGGCTTTTCTCCTTCTTTCTGTATTAGGTATTTGGAACTACTTTTCTTTGTCTACTTGCTGTTCTCATTTTTTATAAACTTCTTACCACTGACTATTATCTGTTTCTGTCTTCCAAAGTATCTTCCTTGACCTATTTGATTATGGTTTGAATTTACACCAAAGAAAAATGAGGCCACAAGGCAGCCATGTAAGGTGCACAGAGGAGGGTAGATTTTTGGATATTGGTTCATGTGGCAGCTCAGAGTCCTTGACTGGGTTAGAGCAACAGAGGTGGCTCCACAGAGCAACTGGATGTGCTTCAAAGACACAGATCTGGAAGAGAATGAAGGTGTACCTTTCCTACTGGGTTTGCTGGGGTTGGCCTTGTGCCAGGTTGGTTTAATGAGCAACAGCATGTATGTCTGTGTTGAAATGCGTCTCATCAGAGGAAAAACAGAGGGCTTAATTTTTTCTCATCCAAATCAAAAACTTTGATTTTTCAAGAGGTTACGAAATATTGCAAAAATTGCAGATCACAGAAATTTATTTTTTTTCATCCATCTTAATTTTATTTACTCTTTTCGGCCTTCAGAGGATTTTTTTGCCCTCTGATTCACAGTACCATGAGTCAGCTGTCTGTGTTTGGAATTATTTGTTGATAAGATTGTGTGTTATAGTGAGATTTTGCAGTCTGCAACTATTCATGCCAGGATGATTTTCCAGAGATGAGCAGGTTTAATTAGTTTGCTGGGATATAACAGGCAACTGCTGGGGATGGATTAGTCCTTCAGTCAGTGCCTTTTTCCTCAAAGCAAGGGTTCAGGGTTTCTGGTGCTCAGAAAGGGTTGTTTCCATAGCAAGTACCATGTCCTAAGTTTGGATGTTTATTATTTATTCTGTAGTTCGATTCCCATTATTTGTAAGTGTGGTTCAGAAAGGCCTCAACTCAGACTCAGAGAACAAATAATACAAAGTTGTAAAAGACTTGTTAAAAACCAGAAAACTTTCAGCACCAAATCTGAATGTTTTGGAAAAATATGACTGATTAAAAGCTGGTGCTATAAAGGCATTGCAAGTAATTACAGTCCTGTCATGTTGAAGTTAAACAGGCACTGGCTTTCTGCTTGGTTAAAATGAAGGGGACAAACATGCCAGCAGCTGGCAAATGCCAGCAGAACAGCTGCCAACAAAACTAAGTAGCTACTCTCACAGCATATTCCTGCTCTCTCTACACTTGTGTTATAGCCACAAGCCGTAAAGGAATTTATTGCACTTTGTTAATTTTATATTCTCTGTCACTGTCTGTGACTTTCCACATTAAACTATCCTTATTCAAGTGACGTGCACATCAGCTCTTTTTGCTCTATTTGAACAGGATTTACTAGTGGTGATGATTCTGTATGTTTGTCTCTGTTTACATACATCACTATGATTTGTCTGTGCACCAAATGTTACCCAGATGTTAAGACAGAAGAGAAGAGAAAGACACTGGGGTGGAAACCCCAGTACGAACAGCAAGGCAAGGCCGGGGTTACACCCTATCAAGAGGGCAAATTCAGCCTTGGTAATAGTTGGCTGAGAAAAGGAAGATGGGGAATGTCACAGTGGTTTGGTAAGTGGATTGGAGTCTGCTTGTATTTTAATAGTCTTATCACATTGCCACAAATACTTGATTCTGTAGCTGTTGTTCAGTTCTGCTTTTCCACTAAGATTGATGAGACTGTCTGCGTGCAAGAATTGAGTTCTTTGGTATTAGTTGTTTGCATTGCTCTGTATGCGCTTCAGTCAGCCAAGCACTCAGGCATTCTGCTAGCTTTCAGCACTTTCCCTGGGAGTAACGAAGTCTTCTGATGTGCTTAAAGTTAGGCAGTCATGGAATTGCAACTTTTTTCCTGCATCTATGTCCAAGAAACGAGTTCTCAAATTGAGTAGAGTAAGTCTGGGGTCCTAGCTGATAAAGAATTTGTTTCATTAGCTATGGCTCACAAGTGCATTTTAGTTTTTCACTTTTAGGAGGAAAAAAAAAACCACGACTTTCCTCATCCTATATGTTAAAAGGAAGCGTTCGTAGTAGTCTGACACTTTACTCCTTGTTAATAGCAATCCTTGGAAGGAATAAAACCTACTAAGGAAGACCCCACTATTAGGGTTCTGTGAAATAGGAAAAACATCCCAAATGACAGACCTAAGAGAAAATAATGTCCTTCCTATATAGATTTTTCATACCAAATTCATCATTTTATATTAGAGAAATCAGTTATGTTACTTTTGTTACATTTTTTGTAAGCTTCAAACAGCTGAGCAGAAAGATAATAATCTTCTATTAATTCTATAATTCTTCCATAAGCTGTGGCTTCTTTTCTGGATGTTTGCTTTCATTCCATGTACACACAACTTTTCTCATGGTGCATAAATGCACTGCTGGCTGTGTATGTTTTTGTTTTTTAAAGGGATTGATTAGAGGGGATCTAGGAACAAAGATGGGTTTTATATGCTAATATAATTTGTAAAGGTAAATTTAAGCTTCCTTCTTTGCTAGTGTGTAAAAAAAATAAATATTTAATATACTGTGAAATTTCTTTTCTAACCGCTTTTCTTGCGTCACAAAAAAAAGTTGTTACCAGGGAAAATGGTTTTGTAGAGGTCTAGGAATTTAGCTAGGCACCTTCCTGGAATGCCAGTCTGCCCATTTCACTTCCAAGAATATACCTGACTTACATGGTGTGCTCTATCAGTGCTTCATCTGTGCTTTCATCTCTTGATAGTGACAGTCCAGCACCTTCTACACGGTGCATTTCAAAGATAAGAATTAGCGCTAGTGTCAACATGCCCAGAGGGAACTTCTGATGCAAGGTTGCTTAAGACCAGCTTTCTATCCAATCTGCATTTACGTTATGGTAGAATACTGCGTCTCTAGTAAGCCATTTCTATTCCTGAAAAGCCCTTTCAAATCCATCCAGAGTTGTCAGTTTAAAATTCATTATTTTTCTCCATATTCTAAGAACAAATACTGTGGGAGAACATAAGAACAAATATAACTGCAGTGTTTATGCAAAGCTGCATTTGGATACTATATGATATCATAATAGAGTATTAGTGGTAGTCAGTGAAAAAGAATGTATTGCATCTGTTAGTGTCACCAAGCTTTTGCAGTTAATTATTTCGATGTAACCACATGTGCTAATAGAGCCACAGCAGTTAGAGAGTACAGTACACGGGGAGCGTTTTGTACTGGGTGATATGTGAGGTGAGGTCAGTAGTTACACGTTTCCTTTCAGAGCCATGATTGAAGAGAAACCATGTAAGGAGGATGCCTATGCACTGGAAACAGAAGGATGTCTCAGTTTAAAGATGCTAACGTGTTCCTTCATGCTCTGGTGGCCTGGGGATAGCGTGCACTAGAACAGCTAATGAAGTATCTCAGGACAGGCACACCAGAAGATGGCACAAGAAGATTCTTTTAAGTAGTGAATGAGCTGAGGCCGCTGCAGAGTGACCCAAACCAGAGAGGTTATAAATTACAGATTGGGTACAAGGTGTTCTTTCTGGGAAGGATTTCGATAAATATTTGGTCTTATGAGATATATCCAAAAGGCAGAAGCTTAATCTTCAGAGTTTCTGTACAAGCCAGAGGTAAAGACCCTCTGTAACAGATAGTTTTGTGGCAGTGGAAGGAAGCGCTCTTCTAAAGACACCCTTTCCACCCCACTCCATCCTGTCTCTTTCTTGTACAATCACTACCCCTTCTTGAAATGCAGAGTTGCTCTGCTTTGCTGTTAGCTAAACCTGGTGGACCTGCTTCACCTCCCATGCTGCCTGCTTTTGATTTCTTTACGCTGCGGATGAATTTGGCACAGTGAGTCACTGAGTAGTAAATTGTGTATTAACTGTGCAAGCAAAAAAATATTTAAAATTACCTAATGTACATTGCAGTCAGCTGACAAATGTAGCTAGCTCATGCAGATTGTGGGAATTCACATGGCTGGCTCAGCAAAGGACTTGGCCAGGTTTCCCTACAAAATTAGAGAGAAAACCCGCAGCATCACACAGTTCTTCATAAACTTCACTGCAGCAGACAGTTAATGTTGGGCAAACAACTCTGTGTCACCAAGGGACACTGTCAACTTTTTCAGACAGAAATGTAATTTCAAATGGTTTAAAATTTTACTTTTATCAGGCTTTACTCGAACTTAAAGAAGTTAACAGAAGTGTTCAGTCATTTACCTTTTATTAGTGCACTGGACAGACTTTTATGTAATAATTTAGCTTTTCTCAGAAAACAAAAAATGTATTTCTACTAACTAAAAAAATATATATGTTAAGGACTTTCTAATTAAAAGATTTCCAGTCAAGAAAAGTTAAAGCATTCTTTTTCAAGTAAAAATAAACCAAGCTGGCAGTGGCCTTTAACAGAAAAGTACTCACACTGGTATTTAATGTTTGCTTTCAAATCTGTGTCCAAAAATGCAGAATGCCTGTAGTGTAATGCAAAACTATGTGTGTGCATTTGCTACAGTGCTGAAAGATGCCTGCACATCAGTAGGAAACAGCAGTGCTGCTCCATTTTTTCCCTATTTCTTGTAGATTCTTATGTCTACAAATGGCATAGTCGTGACTAACATTTATGTTTTGTCTGTGATGAATGTTACGGTTGCAATTCTCTTTTAATTCATATGCATTTTTCAGTTTGGTCCATGCACAGTGCGTAGGAAGTTTCTTGGATTATTAATTTCTGTCTGTTTTTTTCAGATTCTGCTACAGGTTCTCATTTTTTAAGTTCTGTTCAGAGAAAGTACACAAATGCAATATGTATTTGTTTGAAAGATATTTTTGATTGCTTAGGAAAAATACTAAAATGTTGTTTATAAGTAACGCCGATGCTTTCATTTCAGTCAAAGTATTTATTATATTGAACAGTCAGGGGGATTTGCCCAGTGACGTCTAAATTTGTTTGGTACAGACTCCTCTGGGTAAGAGTTATGGCAGCAGCAGTGGATGTGATCTCCAGCTTTGTACAAACAGAGGGAGAGTAGAGAAAGCTAAACCTAGTTTGGAGCTGCCACTAGTGAAGACTGGCCAGTGAGCAGTAAGTGTACGGCACCTGTGTCTCCAGATGCATGCAGTCTGTGACTCACTCATGGTACTTTCTTGGGGCGCCCAGTTCCCCCAGGGCACCAAGGAAAAGCTGCCTTACATGGCTTTTGTAACTTCAGCGGTGATGTGGGGGTTTTTTTTTGTTAAGAGTGACAAGCTGGCAGGTAATGCTGGTGCATAGCTTTAAGACCTTCCATACAGAACAAATGTTTTTAAAGCTTAACCCTCAGTTGTGCTCTGTTTGTTCTGAAGAGCGCATCTCTCAGATGGGGAGCTGGGTTCATTCTGCCCTCACGCTCTCCCTTCCTACAGTGTGTCTGCTCTAACTGAGAGCAAAGATGCTAATCATTAAGGCATTTTTTGTGAGGAAGAGACCTATCTTCTAGGGGTAGCACCATTACGGCATTAAATGTCTGCCGACTAGACTTCCAGTCATTGCTGACTTGTGCTGATTCACACCAGCAGACTGAAAATGAAAACATTTGTGCTAGCTTCCAGACTGTGGAACTGCTCAGACCCATTAATATGACAGTAGCACAGTCTGATTTAAACACTGCAGTGAGGAACTGAAAAGGCAAAAAGGAAAATCCTTTTTTATGTTCCCTCAACAGCCCCATGTTAAATCATATTTGGGGTTGTGAGGCAGTGTTTCTATTTTCTTTGTGCCTTATTATTTAAGTGAAAATACCTTTGTACACACCTGTCCAAAGGAAGAAAGATTTTCCCCGCCAGTTACTGTAAACATGTTAAGTGTTCAGCCGTCCTTTAGTTGCTCATTGACCTAGCACTTCATAAATGCTGCCTAAGCATAGAAGAAAATGAGCCAGATTTCTCTATGCTGTCAACAGGGTTGCTGTAGGAAGGGTAGCATCCCAGATTTTAAAGAAGGCACTGCTTTTCCTCATGCATTTCCCAATGGTTGCCTGCTGTGGAACTTGCTGTGGTGGACCCCAGGTTGACTTATATAGCTGAACCTATGGGCTCATGAGTAACTTGTACTTAAGCATTTTGTGCAGCTTCTCAATGAGGGGTGACGGAGGTGCTTACAGAGGAGCTGGGATGCTTTTGTCTGAAAGTCTTCTGCTCAGGGCCTGAGTTGAGGCTGCAGGAGTGCCTTGGTTGTACAGCAGCATCTGTACTTACACCTTGCGCTTACATCACATCATGCTGGTGAGTTTGGCGTCATTAAGGGATTTGAGGAGCTGCTGTTGTGCGTCTCTTCCTCCACATATAAGCCTTGAGCATATAGGTTAATAAGGAAATTGCTGTGAATAGCCTTATTCCTATGCTGCATTTGTAAAATGCTTTGGAAGTAAAATGTCCTTTTTAGGACTACAGACCAGCAGCATTAACAGTTTTTGGTGTCTGCATAGAGTATCATAATTTTTTGTAGAGGAAAGAGCGCGCTGCATTTTCCCTTCTGGCTAGCAACTCCCCTTCTCAGCCAGACTTGGCCAATGCTTCACGTACGCCATTTCTGAGTAAGCGTTGGCTGGTTCACTTTCCTGCTCATTGATGGTATGAGTCTGGGCTCTGAAAACACCGTATCTCCCACAGCAATGTCTCCCTCTGCAAAACAGGATTAAGTGCTGTTACCCAGGTTTGGAGTGCCAACATAGAGCTCAGCACAGTCATCCTGGGCCAAGTGAGGCAATTGGGCTCACCGGGGTTTGGCAAAACCATGCATAGGAACAAGTACTGAAAAATCCAGTGTTGTTCTGCAATTAGTTAGTGCTGGTATGTTTGGCATAAATTCAAAGTTGGTTGGGGTTTAGTATATTTGTATTTGTAATGAAGAGGAGATACATATATTCATCTCAGTCACTTACTTTTTTCTGCACAGTGCTTGGCATGGTCACCCCTCACACATAGGGCTGCCGAGCTCTTTGTCATTAGTACTGTTCTTTAATGGAGAAAGTAGCATTTTGATCTTTGCAAGGCACACAACTGCAGTTAGACTCTTCCTGTCTGTAGTGTCTGTCAAAATCTGACCTTGATGTTGCTATTGGCAGAAAACATCCCTACCAGTTACGCTTTTATGTGAATTCAATTTCAATCATGAGTTGGTTGATTGATTTTTATTTTTTTTAATTGCGTCTTCTGAAAGCCGTGTTAAAAATTAAGAAAGACGCCGTTGGATTTTTTTTAATGGGAATTCACCATTGGTTCATTCTGTGTTCTTTCTTTATTCCTTTTTTCTACCTACTGATGCTACTTACAGTTGTTTTGCTTAATAGAGGACGATCACAGAGATATTTTTCTCCCTTATCCGTTGAATTTTTTTTAATGGGAATTCATCATTGCTTCATTCTGTGTTCTTTCTTTATTCCTTTTTTCTACCTACTGATGCTACTTACAGTTGTTTTGCTTAATAGAGGACGATCACAGAGATATTTTTCTCCCTTATCCTATGACTTTCTGGGATTTTATAGTAAGAGAGCAACCCTGTACTCCAGAGGGGGAGAATAAGAGCTCTGCTCTTCAGATTGATGAAATGTCAGTATCTTTAGGCATCAAGAGGGGGCAGTGCCTCTTTTCTTTTCTTAGAAAATAGTAAGCACTGGCATACCAAAGATGGCAAGGAAAGAGAATCTTCCCACATTCCAACTGAGGGAGTCCCACAGTGGATCTTATATAGGCTTGGGTCAGGGGGCTGGGGTAGGGAGGGTTGGTGATCTAAATCTCACAAGTCTAAAAGAAAAATTTTAGGGGGATGGAAAGACTGATGAACATTTGAACTTGGAACTTGTTTATGGAAGTTTCACTGAGTCAATATAGTGGTTGGAAAGCAATACCTGCTTTTATAATACAGAAGTGTAGCTATTTCTAGATCCTCATTATTATTCAGAAGAAATGCATAATGCTTAAATAAGACAAAAAATGATCCCCTAAATAGATAAAGGACAAAATGTTTATCTAAAATTAAAATAACATTCATCATCTTTTTTTCCCCCTAATCTATTTTACTAGACTATTTTGAGGATTGTGGTCCTTGGCATATGGGATTACATTGAAAACAAAATAGAGGTAAGCACTCTTACTCTTCGTACTGTTTTCCAGGCAGACACAGTAAGAATATTAAGAACTGCTTTGGGTGGCTTTGTTATAGACCTGTTGCAATACAGTATCTTTTAACTCAGATAAATATGCACATTCTTCTCATTATATGCATGTATACATAGCTGTATGATGCAGTCTCTTTTTCTGTGAGAGACTCAGAGTGCGATATTTGGAAATATTTTATTAAAGAAGGGAGTGGGTTTTTTGCTGCATGTGTCTATTTTTGTTGTTAGAGCTGTGTTAGTCTACCTGTTAATACTGCTACCCTGAGATAATGAGCAATATGGGTAAAAATTGTCATGTGACTTGTTTAATCCCATTCCCATAATCAAGTTGAAATTAGAACTGGTTGAAAAATTGTGTGCAGTTTTCTGATAGAAAATAGTGGTTTGGCAAAACCCCCAATTTTATTGTGAAATTATTTTTTAATTAAATTATGATAAACACTGTAATTTGTACCTCAAATTAAAAATTAGGTAGAATGTGTATACTGTTGCAGAGGCAGATAAAGAAATGCATGTGTTGTAAGTGACACATAATCCCAATCTGAGCAGAAATCTGGAGATCAGGGAAATTAAAAGCTCTTTCTTGATACTATCTGATAAACTAATACTGCACAGGATGCACCAGAAGAAAATCTGGGTTTTCTCAGAGCTTAAGTGAGTCTAGAGGCTTGCACATTTTTGTAATAAAGTTGTAAACCTTTTAACTTGTTTTGCTAAAAAACTGAAGTGGAACTTAAATTATTGATCCAGAGACTCTTATTATTGAGGTTAAATGCAGCAGTTTCTGATAATTTATTTTGGTAAATTGAAATGGAGTGATATTGTTCACTGCCCATCAAATGGTGGCAGCAATAAGTGTTTCTTTTCAATACACTGAATTGTTATGCACAATTCTGAATGTGTGGTGCTTATAAAATCTATGTCCTACCTCCTTAGGCAAACCATTAATCGATGGTCTTTGACAGCTGGGAATGGTCTCAGTAGGAATGAGGACATGGTATTCTGTTCTACCCTGCTAGGCGAGTGTAGCACAGACACAACACTATTGCCAGTTTGCTCTGAAATGTATTTACTCATGCATTTCTGTCTAATACTTTGCACAATTGCCTTCTCTGATCTAATTCACAGTGCAACAATGTCATACAAATCATTTTGAATAGTCCCAGTTGTCAAAATCCTTGAAAACCTAGCTGCCCAATAAAGGTGAGAGCAGGGAGTCTTTCTGTCTTGATGCACGGCTGTTCCGACACACACTGTGTAGTCAGGACGTGGCCAAGGGCCATCAAGCCTCTTTGCTCCATCTTTTTCTATTTGTCTTCTTGATCTCTTCATTTAGACAGTAAGATCTATGGGCAGGGACTGTATCCTTTTTTGGGATGGCATTATGCCAAGTAACAGGTAATAAATACCAATGATAATAAAACTCTTTGGCTGTAATAGCATTTAGGCTATCACTTCTGCTTGGGGATTTTGGCCAGCATTTCCAAAAGAGAAATCTCTCCCTGCCGTCCCACCACAGTTTATCTCTCCTCACCTCATAAAATGCACCAAGGAATTCTGTTGTGCTACCTAAAAAGGATGCAGCCTTTCTGGGGCTTGGCCACCTCTTATATCCCTTTATATCCCAAATATGTACCATAATTGCATTTCTTTTGGGCAAAGTGGGAGCCCTTCAAGACCCCAAGCAGGAATAGCAGGGTGTTATGATCTTTAGGAAGGATTTGAAAAGACTGATTTCTCTCTAGGTGTTTGATGGTGCTGTCATAATCTTGTCCTTGGCACCAATGGTGGCCTCAACAGTGGCTAATGGCCCCAGCAGCCCATGGGATGCTATCAGCCTTATTATCACACTACGAATATGGAGAGTGAAGAGGATCATTGATGGTGAGTGGTGATTCAGTTTGTGACTCCAAGAATTACCTGGCAGGCTGGGAAAAAAGAGATTTTAAAAGTATTGAAAGATTGCTTGCCGCCACTGTTTCTGTTGTTCTCCTTCCTCTTACATTTTAAAAGCACTGAACAGAAGAGAGTTATGACTCCCATGGAGGAGAGTAGGTCTCAAGTTCATGGCTGTATCTCCTGTTCCCTATGAGCCCTTATAATTGATCGGTTTGTTTTTCTGTTAGGTACCTTCACATCCCCTATCCTGTAAAGTAAATGCCCTGACCTGCTTCCTGTCTCTTGCCACCAGATGTCATTCCTGATTCTGCAAAATAATGGCTTCCAATCTGCTTTTCCGATATTTGCTGCGCCCTCCCCATTTCCATACAGCTAGCTCTGTCTTGGGGCTTTCTTTTCCAAGTTCTTGTCTGTAATACAATCTTTATGTCAGATTCCAGGAGCATTTTCTTACTGTGGGAGTTCCATGCTGAAGGTGCTCTCTGCAATGCTGGTGTGTTGTACAGCATAATAACGAAGCGTGTATCGGTACTGTTTTGCACAGACCTCTGTGGGGAAGCACCAGGGGTGATAAGAAAGCCCCAGCAAGTCAAAGTTTCAGAGAGCAGAACCGGTGACTGTGCCGAAAGCAAGGACTTTAGTGTAGGCTACTTTGTGTTCAGTGGTTTCAGGCATTTCAGGTTACAGGGAAAAGAGGTGAAAAAGGAATAAATGAAGGGTCACTTTGCTCATGTGTGAAAGATCAGAGTCAAGTTGTTGTTTGGGGTTTAGGTGCCCAGGAAACTCTGTATTCAGATTTGAGGAAAGGTCATAGTCCTCTGACTGAAGTGTACAAGAAAAGTTCAGGATCTTGTGTAGCTTCAGAAAACATTAAGAATTGCAATATGCATTGAACAGCTTTGCTGATAGGTCTGAGTTTGCCATAGTTATGACAGGAGCAAAACTTCCAGAGGCGTTCAGAAGACCTATTGAAAACTGGGCTGTAGCTTGAAAAGCAATAGAAGATAAATGCCTTTTTGTTTTTTAAAATATCCTTCTTAGTCTGCTATTTCCATTAAGGACTTATTTCTTACCACAAAGTCTAGGAATTAAATACTTAGGGCTCTGGAATAGTTCTTTTCCTAAGGGAGCCATGCTGTTCAGGTTTAGAAGGGATGGGCCTAACTCTAAGCAGAAAATCCTCCTACCCAGCAATTCAGGAAATCTGTGGTAAACACTGGAAAAGATCTGTATTAGTGGAGCAGAAGCTAGGAAGAGCATGCAGGATGCATTTCAGCTCAGCCAGGCAAATGGAGATCTGACCAAACAGTATCTAGACCCTGCCGATGACCTGCATTTCACATGTTAGAAATCCTTCCCCAGAAGAAATACTCTAGTGCTATTTCTATAAGAAATACTCTAGTTCTCTAGATGCAAGTGAAGAGGGTGACATTCTTTGGCCTGTAAAGGTCTGTAAAGGTTTTCCTTCTGATAAAAAAACAAATCACAGCTGGGTTACTTTAAGTGCTTGTTTGTGTTTTCCAGCTTATGTCCTTCCAGTGAAAGTGGAGATGGAGATGATGATTCAGCAATATGAGAAGGCAAAGGTTATTCAAGATGAACAGCTGGAAAGACTAACCCAGATCTGCCAAGAACAAGGGGTAAAGTTCACTTATGTCTTTCTTTATGCATAGCTTGTCATGGCAAATGAAACAGTTCATGTACTTTGCTGCAAGCTAAGGTTTGAGGAGTATCACTAGGACTTCTGTTGTAAGGTGACAGGTCTCAGTGTTAAGGATTAGCTGCAGCCAGGATGTTGTCAGCATGCTATTTGTCAAACAGCAGTTGTCTCCCTCTGCTGCTGTGCTTGTGTTTTTTAAGCTGAGGAAAACAAATGTGAAGAACAGAAAAAGAATGCTTCCAGTATGTAATTTATTGAATGAGTACAGATAGCTTGACATAATGCTAAGAACATGCAAAAATCATTGCCGTTGTTGGAGGCTGCAGCTATATTAAGGCTGTATTCCTAGGAAAAGTATATGCAGTTGAAAGCTGATGAATCTCCCTGCTTTAAATGCAGAAGGCAGCTTCCCTGTAGGTCAGTCAGAGACTCCTTTGGCAGACTCAAAGTGTTGCAATAAAAGCTAATAGTTGCTGGAAGCAAGTAAAGATTTAAGACTCTTCCCAGGCCCCCAAATGTTCAGTGACTCAGTCTTGAAGTAAGGGAAGGTGAAGCTTAAAATATCTCAAATGAATATATTTACATGAAAAAGGTGTAAAACCACTGATTGGGCAATGAGCCAGGAGTTTTTGCAAGTTTGTCTCATGCAAATGAGTTCTTGAATAACCTGCTTTAACATAGAAACCGGGGATGTGTGTTGAGGCCCAGGCTATGTGGGGCATTCAGGTGACATTCAAACCGCAACAGAATGATCCCCCAAGTGACTTAATTCTTGTTTCAGTTTAAAGGTAACTATGAGGTGTCCAAATAAAGCCTGGAGATTTCTAGCTTCAACTCCCCACTTGTAGTAGGTGCTTTTCAAATACAAAATGAGGAGACCTGTAAGTCTGAATGGCTCAGTCACTCAAAAAGTTGAAGGACCTGAGCAGACAGGAGGAGAGGCAACTTGTCCCAGAACAGACCAACTGCCCAAAAGGTGCAGAATCTGAAGCAGGGATTTAGATGCCCATCTTTTACCAAGGAACCTAAAATAGTTGTGAAACCAGCAGCATTTAGGTCCCCAAATGGCTTTTTAGATTTAGTTTCAGGTCTCCTGGATCTCAAGCTAGGATTCTGCAATGAACTTTTGGTGGTGTTAGGTTGCTTTGTCTGTGTGATGAATTTGGAAGACCTGTTGACAGTGTGTGTCATTTCATAACACTGTTTTTGACAGTCTCTCATGTTAACCATAACAAATTTCTAAACCTTAGGCTTGACTTTTGCCAAAAATTAGTTACTTCCACCTATGTAAGTATCTTCACTGGCAAAACTGCAGTTCTCTTCATCACAACTTTGTACAATGATATTAAGTGATTAATGCTTCTGTCATAGTTGTGAAATCAACAGGGAAATGTTATATACCCCATTTTAAAGGGGAGAGATTATCCTTTGACCAAACGCATTAGGCAAATCAGTGATTTCTTGAGTCCTGTTGCAGTATTCTGTCTGTCAGACCATGCTATTAGGCTAAAGTTCTTGACAATCATAAATTTTAAAACATTAGTTTTTAGGAAATGTATTATGCAGCCAGATAACACTCTCAATCTCTAAACAATTTTTGGTGTTATTATTTCATAGTCTTTGAGTAAAGTTGGGCTTATTATCCCAGGTGGCGTTCAGGAGCAGCTCTTGCCACTCTCCATTCTGATGCATGTACTCCTTACCTGCATGCCTGGCTTGCAAAGTGGCTGAGCATAGTAGCCCGAATCTGAGCTCTGATGGTTACAGCACAGCTGTACATCAAGCACAAAGAAATACTGCATTGGTAGATGAGTAAATCTGTGAAAACAGAGCAGGTTCTCTCCTAGCTTTCAAGTGTCACCAGCTATGGAAAAATATGGACTATAGAAAAATGACAGCATACTAATCCCTCTTATTTTACTGTCCTGACTTCCTGCCAAACAAATGTCTCAGCTGTATAATATGGGGTAAATGTACTAATTTGCTACAGTTAGCAACATAAGACATTGACACAAGTACTGCATCCTTCCTTTGTAAATTAATAGCTTCATAATTCAGTCAAGAACAAGTTGTCAGCATTATAATATTCACATTAACATTGTGTACAGTATTTGGTGGGAAAAAGGTCTCCTAATGGTATTTAATGTCTAAAATTCTGCCAGGTTTTTGCTTTTTCATTTGATCATCTTTCCTGACCTTTTTAAAGGATTGCTCGTTCATGGAGTTTAAATGTGTATGTCTCTGTTTTTGAGTGAAGGGTTGCCTACAGTAGTCTGGCTGTCTCAAATCTGGAGCGCCGGCAGGGAGGGATTCCACTTCGCCTTGTCTGGGTGGTACCACCTCTGGCACGGACAGATGGGATAGCTGGGAGCTGCCCGTAGGGGTTGAGCTGTTGCCTCAGATACATGCTGGGGCACACCAGTGCCAGCCCAAGTAGGAAGAATGGGCAAGCCACCATGGTTGCCTACATCCCAGCAGTGGATGTAGATACTGATTCATCCTGAGGCTGCATCTTTGTGACCACACTGATGATTTGCATTTATTTACTAATTATAGACAGGGCTGAAAACATTCCTGTCAGAAAGATTTCCCAGCACTTCCTTTTCTGAGATCCTGCGTTCAGTTTCTTACTGCTTTGCCACTTGTCAGGCAATTGGGATTGACATTGTCAAGGTCTGGCATCTTCTGCAGGTGAAATTATTTTGAAAGTTTCAGACAAAATATTCATTATTTCTGGACAGGAATTGGGGAAAAAAATTAGCCTGCTTTGTTCGGGATTTAAAACAAAAATAATTGGTGGCCAGTTCTCTGGGAAGTCCCATGCCCTCCTGTTTTGAAGCTGGTATTTAACACTTGACAGGCAAAAATGGAGTTCCTGCTTTAAAAAAATAAAAGCAGGAAAGATGCAACCTCCCTTCATCTTACTTTTTGAATTCTGTTTCTTTTGTCAGTTGTATATTTTTTTGGCCCGTGATAGGGTATCACAACTATAAAGTACATTTCCATTCCTGAATGACATTGGAGACGTACTTTTGCAAACATGAAAACTCTTTCCAGATGTTGATTTTTGGCTAGCTGTACATCTGAAAACCAGAGTATATTTTATACGTTATAGCTGCATGGACCACCACTTTGTTCTCTGTAGTACCCCTGAAACGGTTTGAATAGTTTGCTGTTTTATTTATTCTCCATTGGCCAAGAAAGAAGTCATTAAAAGGGAGTGGAGCATGAGGGCAGTCAAGGCAGAAAATACTGAAAGGGCTGAGATGGCTGTACAGGACTTCACAAAACATAAGAAACAATCACAGTAACAGGGATTTTTAAAAATGGGGAAAGGTAAAAGGTAAAAAAGTCTCATTGCAATTACTATCAAAAATATGAACAGAGTATATTGCTGATGGTATTGTTTTATCAGAATAACTTCACTTAAATTGCAAAACAAAGTTCCAAAGTTTCATTAACAATGCGAATTCCAGTCAGGGAAGATTGCTTTTTTCCTCTGGAATCACCTGTAAAGGAATTTCCATTTCTGATAATAGATCTACTTACATGATCTTTTCTGCTTAACTTTCATAAGAGTCATTCAGCTGAGTACAGTCCAGCCAAGACTATGTATTCAGGCTTATCACAAGAGTTCCTTTTCTGTCAGCTCCTATAGAATTGGGTTTTTCATCATTCTCAAAGCTGCAACAACTATGGAAGCTATAATTTCTTTTTTATCTTGGAATATAATTTGTACAACAGCTGCTAGTTTAATGACAGGGCTATTTAGCTGGTAAAATTACCTATCGGAGAAATAACTTACGTTATCCTTTTGCAATAATTTTAATTTATTTCTAACTACCAGTCATTTTCTTGGTGAATGGAAGGGAGCCAAGGTCATCCGGTGTTTCATTCTGCCTATAAATCTTTAGTTTGCAACTGTCTCCTGATTTTTATTGTTACCAACAATGGCTAAACTAATGGAAATAAACATTGGATTGTATCCCAGTGGCAGATGAGCTTTAGGGCAGGGCATTCTGTACGGACAGCACTAATAGAATTGAGCAAAGTTATTGCTCCTGCATTAGACACGAATAAGCTTCTGGCTAAAATGTTCATTGATCTGTCTGAAACTATGTCAATCATACTCTGTTGCTAGACCATTAAAGAGAAGTACTATATGATTCACTGCTAAGTTTGTCCCTTTTTGGGTCTTATATGCATGTTGTAAAACATCAGATAGGATGGGTGGCACATTTTATAAAACCAGGCATGTAAACTGAGATGTTATCTGGAGCTCTGGGTAGGTCTCTGTCATTTTACCTGCTTATAAATAATCACCTAATGCATTCTTTAAGTGAGGAAGTGTACACGTGTGCCCCATAGTTCTTTCTGGTTTGTTTCCCGCCAAAATATTGCTAAGTTTGTGGTACAAGAGGACATGTAACAAATTTTGAAAACATTAAGTAAGTTTAAATTTACCATCAATGAACTTTCCCTTCATGCCTGACAACCTAGTTACTCATTCTTATGTGAGACAGTCTGTATCTCCCCTTTTCTTGGTAGAAAGTGTATTTCCACATTAGCCAAGTGTATTACACCTTTATTGCTGTCTTCAGCTCCTTCATGGGGGGGTGTAGCCAGGCTCTCCTCAGAGGTGCACAGTGACAGTACACAAGCTGGAATGTGCAAAATTCCTATTAAATATAAGAACAAACATTTTTACTAGGAGAATGTCCAGGCACTGGAGCAGATTGCCAGGGAGGTTGTGGTATACACAACCTTGGAGATACTCAAAACTTGACAGGACAGGCTTTTAGCAACCTGAGGTAAATGGACTTGCTTTAAGCAGGGTGTTGGACTAGATGACCTTCACAGGTCCATTTCAGCCTAGATTATGCTGTGATTCTATGAAGTTTTCAAATACATTTTTTCCATTGCAAAGTATGTTAGGAACTTACTGATAAAAGAACCCACCAGAAGCTACCAAAGTACATGTAATTAAAGATAATGAATATCAGAGGTGTCCTGGTAAATAATGTCAGTAGCAGTCTCAAGTGGACCAGTGCTCAGTTTGTAATTATCTTGAGTCAGGAGATGGGTTACTTTAGTCTCCGTGATCGCAACAAGTTATCTTCCACACGACAGCATTATTTGCCCACTGGATCTCTGTGGGATTTACAAGATTTTTAACACAGAGCTGATACTTATGAGTAAGTCTTAATTTAAACAAATCAAAGCATGTGTATAAGTTTGTATGCTTTTTTTTTCTTTTTTGCCTCACAATATGCATGATATGCATCCTTCCTTACAGGCTGAAGGAAGGATGGTCTACCTGAAAATATGAAACATGGTTTTCTCAGTGCAGCTTTCCTGCAGTACTCTGTATTGGAGAGGCCCAAGTCTACAGATAGCTACATCAGCTCCTACTGCAAATAGAAATTTCATGTGTTTAACTTGGCCCAGAATTTTTACTTAAAAAGACCATTATATTTTATACCTTTTAATGATTTATTTAACCCGCTCTGGACTGCATGACATGCAGTCAGAGCAATCTCATTAGCTCTTTTACACATTAGAACTGCCCGAGGTCAGTGTTCAATATAATGTTCAATAGATACAAGCACCTACGCCATAATTTGTTCATGCAGTCTCTCATTGAATTACGCCTGTAAGGAACACCCACTTCTCTTAGACTTAACCTTTTTTTTTAGTGGGTTGCTTTTAGTGGCCAAAACTGTATTCCAGCTTTTACAATATCTTGGGATAATTTTTTAGTAACAATTGGAAACAATTAATATTGAACTGATCTCCTGAATAGATGCATGCCTTTTGTGACCAAAAATCTCTGTTTCTTGTTTAACTTCTCCTAGATATTTTATTGAATGTCCTTTGATAAATGGTGATTTTTCCATCCCACCCAGTCCCTTTTTGAACATGCTAGAGACTTAGAGAGTTTGGGTTTGCATTTGGAAGCAGTATATTGAGTTGGGTTTTGGCTCTGTCTTATTCTCTGTGTCTGTAACAGTTATGGTTCTGCATCTCTGTGGAACACCTTGTGTGGATCACTTTGCATCAGTAACAGTGGATGTGGGCATGGGACAAACACCATTATTACAATGACTACCCTCTTCTCTGTCAATAAAAAAATGACAGTTACACACACACACCAGTATTTAATTCTAGCGTTCCACTGTTTTAATGACTACACAGACATCAAGGCAAACATGAATGGGACCTGGAAGCTGACCATCTGAGGTAATGGAAAAGTGGAAGGGAGAGCCTGTGTTAACCAGCTGCAGCTGCGTGGTTTTGTAGGCAATATCAATTTCTGCTGTTATCTTTCTGAACATCTCTGTGTGCTATTACTCACCTTGCACATGATGTTGAAGTCCAGAGCACTGTGCTGCTTTACTGTGCCTAGGAATTCAATTCTCATATCTGCTCTTGACAGTCTCATGTTCAGTTCTGGATTTTAGACCAGTGTTGATGAAAATAATACAAGCATGTGGATTGTGCTTGCAGCTGGCAATAAAAGAGGGTTCGCATATCACTTTAAAAGTTGCAAATCCTGCATACGCTTCTCATCCTCAGGCAGTGGATGAGGGCAGTGTTGCATGAGCCACGACATCGGGTCTAGGTTTCAGTTTCTGCTAGAATGTGACGTTTGTGCAGTCTTCATGAGCAAGTGCTTCCTTTGCTGCTGTAGGCACAAGCATGTATTTCTGTCTTTCAAACATAAGATGGCAGCAAAGCCCCTTCTGTTTTTGACATTACCAGCGGTAGTAGCTGTTCACCTGAATAACCATGGTAGCCGTTTTCTCTGTGGATTCCAGTTTCTCATGCTGTCTGTGTGGTTGGGTTCAACCAAGGTAGTAATTTTTCCCATATAAATAGAAAATAAATAATTGTTTGGGCAAAGTGTAGTTGTCCAGCATGGTGATCCCAGCAATGGTTGCAGGCTGCTACTTGGTCCAGCATGCCAGGCTGAGTAGTTCATAGCTTGTTGGCAGAGCCATATTAAACAATAACATTTATGAACTCATCTATTAAAAACTGGATGGTGACTGGGCATGGAAGTTTTAAAGATTGACAATAAGCTGTGGATATTTGGAAACGCTTGCTTTATTGATTGGAACATGTAAGTGGGCATCAGAAAGTCTGGTCTCTTCCCCCATATTTGCTGTAGGTTCAATGTAGCAGGAAAGATCACCTAATGTGCTTCCTTTTTCACATCTGTAAAATGCAGTGATTCCCTTCAAGCTTTTGATTGTTACAAGGTTCAGCCAATCTTTGTAAACGCTTAAGCTGGTTAAATTGGGTGTGATACAGAAATACAATTGTTGAGCTGACTTTTAGGTAGCTTTATCTATGTGTGTTATGAAATACCTGCCAATTTTTTTCTCTTCCATGAAAAAGAAATCATATCCTGCCTCTAGGCCAGAATTAAGCGTTTTAGTGGCAATATTTCTTTTTCTGACACACAGGAATGTTTTTGAAGGATGAAATGTGAAATGTAGAAAAACGGTAATGATGCCTAATTCTTATTGCTTTTTAGTTGAGCTAGGCAAATAGATATAGTTAGGCAATAATTTAAAAAAAAAACCTCCAGATTTATTTTTTGCCTATCACGTTTGAGTGCATTTCTTCCTTTAAACCAAGGCAGTGTCTGAAAGGGTATCTTCCTCCCTTTAAAGGTGAAATGTAAGATATTTTGGGATTTCTTTTTTTTTTCAAGTCAAGGATAAAACCTGAAATTCTCTGTAGTGTAAAGTTGAACTCCAGACAGTCCTTTCATGGCTGAATGACGCATTCGTACTGACACCCCTGGTATGGCATGGGCACCTTAAGCCTCAGGAAGCTTAGGGCTGGCTGGGAAAAGAGTTAGCACTACCAGTTTGCTACTTCTTCCTAGCTGATAGGTTAACACAAAAAACACTGTCTGGGATCTGCCATGGAGGTTTCATTGAAGGAATCAAGGAGCAGGGCTGTATTTTGATACTTGCTGATACTACCTGACTCCTCTGACTGCCATTGCCAGAGGACCTTTGGTTAAAAGCAGTGAGCATTTCATGCAGCCAGCTGTCTGCAGCTGCCAAACCTCTGTCCGCTGACTTCAAGATGGAGAAAAAGCTGTGTGCTTTGTTAGTTCCCTGTATTAGGTGGTTTGAATGTGATCTGGAAAGCTTAAACTGCCCTTTTGCTCTCTAGATTTGAGTCTTGCAGTGGGTCTTCCGGTTACTGTAGCTCCTTCCCATATGCTCTGGAAACCAGATAGTCTCCAGATGTGGCAAACTGAAATCCCTTTTTCTTTCCTCTTTTTTTCTTTCTAAAATCTGCGGAAACTCTGTCTTGTTTCCCTCCAGTCGCTTACGCAGCTTGGAGGAACTGCTGGTGCTCTGCGGCGTGCCTGGGGTTTGCGCCGTGTCTGATGTGGACCACGGTGGAACAAACTAGGTCCACTGATGGATTCCAAAATCTGACAGCGAAGTAATTTGAGTCAGCATCTGAGAGGCAAGAGACGGAACCAGATTCATTTAGCCTACATGCTGTTGCACACCAGTTTTCAAGCTTTGAGGTGCTAATTCCATCTCTGCTGTAAATGCGGAGTGACAGGTGCAGTGTGGCTTGCCGTAGCATCATGCTTTCCGATGGCTTTTCAAGCCTTGAACTATAGGAGGCCCAGCAATGCTAAATTTTAAATGCCTTAGCCTATTACTCGCCTCATTTGCTTTTCCCTCTCAGACTCTCTATAATTGGACATGACTTGGTCACTGCTGTACTACTGATCTTAAAAAGAGTTTAAAAAAGAGAAACCCTCTGCCACGCAGCCCCATAGCTGTACTGGATGGCAGAAGGGAAGGACAGTGGTATCTTGTAGTGCCTATCTAAGGGCTTAAAGGGTCTCTGCGGGCTCTCCAGAAAAATTATTTTCCTTCTTGCGTTGTGGAAGACCTATGGCTGTCAAACACAAGAGAAACATGTTGTGTCCATCAATCAGATTGTACCTGGTAGCTTCTGTCTTTTTGTCAGTGTCTGCTTTATAACACCAGTCACGAGGCAAATACCCTCCTGACTGCAGAAAGTCATTAACTGCCATGGCTCATATATTTGAGGGGAGTGGCCAGAAAAGTGGCAACCTTCCCCAGCGTTTTCTGCACACTGTTGAGTACAGAAGATTTCAAGCTGGAAGAAGACTGTGGTGTCCCTCCCCGTTGCCCAGTTAGTGGGGGAGGACCATTCTGGATACTGCTTAGAGAACCTTCCTCCATAGAAATCCTCATTACAAAGTCTAGCAGATTAGGGATGTTTGTCATGAACCTAAATCCCTAGATGCCTGTTAAGAGTGGTCTTCTATAAAGATTTCATTTGATTTGGCAGTTAGATCTGTTAAAAATTGTCCAAAACCATATCTTCAGGATGCAGACATGTACAAAATAGAAGACCAGCATGAGGCATTCATTATTTCTAGATTATATGGACAAAGGTCCAGCTCACGTGGGCTCTGGGAGAGCATCAGCTTGGAATCACATCCTGGCTCAACCACATTGTATTTACTGTCACCAGTTTGTAGTGGTTTAGTGATAAAATGAGTAATAGGTCCCCGACTGTAGAATATAGACTTCTGGCCATGCTTATATGACATCAGTATGTGGTGTTGTTTTTTCCTCAAGTTTGAAATCAGGCAGCTGAGGGCCCACCTTGCTCAGCAGGATTTGGATCTGGCTGCAGAGAGAGAGGCTGCGCTGCAGGTCCCACATGTACTGAACAAACAGAGCAGCAACAGGTACAAGGTGGTAGCAACTGAAGATTCGGATGATGAAGTCACCGAGAACATCACTGAGCTGCGACCTCCACGAGGTGAGTGCTGCCTGTGTGCTGCTACCTGCTGGCACAGCTGGTCCCTTACATGGAGTTATTGAACCTACTAAATACTTTCACTCTGCCAGTGAATTGATTACTTTCCCTGGAGACTGCATTTTCCCATTTTTGCAAAGAGGCTGCGTCTGCTTCGAAGTGGCAGGAGCTGTTGTATTTGCAAACAGATTCTGAACAGAGCCAATAAAATGACTTGGGAAGAAAATGACTATGATGTACCTTCCCAGTGTCCTCATGATTATATCCATCAAACACTAAAGAAGCAGCAGCCAAATCAGAATTGATGATAATCACTCAGAGGTAAAAGCAGGGAAATTGAGAAGAACATTGGAAAACAGTTTCGGTCTTTGGCCACTTGCGTTTCTGTGGTTTAGAGGGGACCGATGCATCAGCTATGAAGCTTGCCTTGCCTAGAGGCTGGCATCTCACCAGGTTGATTAAAACTGCCAATGCTGGACAGCCCCCCTGTGCTTGGACAGGGCAGCTCTGGTGCCAGAAAAGGAGCGATGCACTGTGTAGGCAGCTCCTGCTCGGATGTCTAGGTGCTATGTGACTATGGTGAAGAGCAGTCTGTCGTCTGTGGGCTGTCTGTTGGGCAGGTGTGTGGTTCAGGGGGAATATCAACAGTTAGATTTACTTGGATCTATTTTTATCACACAAGTGCTAGACCAGAAGTATTTTTGGAAAAGACATAGCTCTTTTTCCTGTGATCCCCCAACCCTGGGGGATCCAACTCCACACAATGGAGTGCAGAACATGTCCTGATCTCAGTAACATTTAACATAATATTCCAGAGGAGACAACACTTTCTACCTTAGCGATATGTTAGTCTTCCTTGGACATCTTAGCTTGATTATTTTAGTAGATGAGCAGTATGTGAATATATCTGAATTAGAGGTTTGGATGGTATCTTTATTTTGGTCAAACTCCTTAGAGTTCAAGGCACAGAAGTACTTTAATCAAAAGGTTTAAGAGAAAAAGCTCACCAGATGTTTTCAAATGATAATCCTGTCCATTCTCTACACAGTAATGAAAGCATGTAGAAATTGTTTTTGTTTTTTCCTCTTTTTAATATCTAAGCGCTAGCCACAATTCAGCCATTAATTATTCCTGATTTGAAATTGTATTTAAAAGCAGGCAGTTGAGCAGACTGCCCCCTAAAATGCATTTCCCCCTTTTTTGTAGGATTTCAGAGGTTTCCCCAGTGGATATACTATAATTTATGCATGTGTTCCTTGAGGGTTACATTTGGAACTGGAGAGTGTTGTGCGCATTATAAGGAGGTTTGCTGAAATTTTAGTGCTGTGGAGATTCATGTAAAAATTCTTCTGTCCAAGGTATTCATTCAATCATCCAAGTTAACACAAGTACTCATTATTTGTTTCTCCCTGTAAAATGCTGGCCACACATGCAACAAAGTAGACACACAATCTTCAGGATTGATTTCTACATTCAGTTAGGATACGTGATTAGAGAGATTCATGCTTTTCACTGAAAAAGACGTTCAGCAAATAAGAAAGCATGCATTACTTTACATATCAGGTAAGGTTTGTTACATTTTATGTTACATTTAAACAATCATACTGAGTATACAGAATTAATTTCTGATTCCCAGAAGTCATCTAAAAATACAGGAGGAAATATTTTTTGTGCATTGTATCATATATTACATACAAAGCATTATTTTGAGCACTTGTCCTTAGAAGCTGAATCCGGGTGACTCCATTTAAACAATTGTCCTTTATGTTGAATGAGGCAGGAGTTGGACAGAAAAAATTTCCTTTGGCCTTACAGCAAGAGACACCCATCCATGATATAGTCTACCATCATGGTGGACTACCGACAAGGGGGCCAAGTTAAGACTGCATGAGAAACCACAAGCCCAGCAATAACATTTCAGTGCTTTAGTTCACAATCCAGGTAACAGTCAATTGAGGCAGAGGATTTTGCATGTAATTTCCTGGATTATTTTGCAAAGGAAAGAAGTAGTAAGCTACCAAGGCTTTGAATCCTGCACTAGCAATGCTGGCTTAGAGATTGCTTCTGCGTAAGCTACAGGACTTCAAAACCTCAACTAACAGCTTGAGAAGGCAGTTACCCTTGGGTAAGAAAGATCATGACCCAGCCATGCCTGGTTCTTCTCCCTCCCCACCTCAACTGGGTCTTTCTTCTCCAGCTCTCCCAGCACCAACTTGCACTCCCAGTAATATGCTGGCTGTTGCTGCAGCAACTTTCACCGTTATCACTTTGCCATGCCGCCAGCGTTGTCTTCATCTACACCGTGGCCATTCTGACCAATACATATATCGGCAAAATCTGAATGTGGTATGTCGGATGGAAGAAGAGCATGTCTTCAGCTGAAGGTGCCTCCATTTGCACAGTGTGGAAGGGATATATCTGGTTGGTGTAGGATCTCCCCACCTGCTCAGGCACATGAAATACTCCTGAGAGCTGACTCTGCAGAGCACAGACGATTAAGACATTTCCTGTAGGTCATTTCTGTACCCTCCCGCTTCTCACGTGCTGTGGTTACACTGGCTGTGCTGTCTTCAGGGCTTTCCACACCACTTGCTCTGCCTGGAACTGTAAGCCACCAGTGTTTAAATCCTGACTTTTGGGTCAAGGGTTATGTTTTGCAAGTTACCCTCTGTGTCAGACCACATTAGGAATTGCTTTGCATCCATTTTCTCTAAGCTGTGTTTTTCCTCCTTAAAGATTCCAGAGTGATGATTGCAGTTAATCATTCTGTGTGCCACATGGCATTTGTGAGGTTTGAAAAATATCTGCAGTTGCCTATTATACTGACTAGTTGGAGGAGAAATAAGGGACCGGCTTGCTAATACTGTTAAAAGAAAAGCTACGGTTCAAAGCCATGATTCAGCTGTTAGGCAAAACCCGCTCTGATACGTTGTTCTCTTATGCTCTGGTAGATCATTAGCCCTACATATAACACCTGAGGGTAGGGTATGGCATGGAATGCGTGTGTTTGTGCCAAACTTAACTTTGTCAGCCTTCCAAAACATCACCGTCTTTGGAGAGCCCTGAGTTCTGCCAGACCAGCAAGCTTGAGCTGGCTAGAGAACATACTGCATGAGAAAATGGGATATTCCATCTGAAGCTAATCTTATTTCCCCCATCTATATTGAACAATGGAAACATTCAGTGCAGAATACTTTACCACGAAGGGGTTATGGAATAAGAAAGCATTCAGACTCATTTCCCTCCCTGGGAGTTTTATGGGATAGTGCATAAATTAAAGCTCCTCAGGGGCAGCTGTAGCTTGTACTCTGGTATTTACACTGGATTTTGTGCAACCATTTACTACAGCGTTCAGTAAAGTAAGTCAGGTCACCCCAGCATCACATGGTACACACCACCGCAGGGAATTTGTGTAGAGACACACTGTGGCCTGCACCAGGAGAGTATGTGCTGGCTGATTTGGTAGCTTTCAGTAGGTGTTTTCAACCAGCTTTTCTTTCGGCAGGCCTCTTTCTTTTTTTATCTGAAGCGCCTTAATTGCTGCTACGAGACTGGGAGAGGCAAGAGTTCTAGTCAGATGGTCAATGGGCTCTGAAAGTGTCCCATAACTCCCTAGTTAATATTTCATGCCTCTTCTTGAAGGACCACTTCTTGAGGCAGTACAGCTGTAAACTGTTTGTGGCCTGGTCAGTCCTGTGCTAATTCTCTGAATAATGAGCTGGATGCTGCCTCACACGCTTGTGTGTCCCCAGAGTAGTTCACCAAGAGACCTCCTAACATAGTAGGAATAACTCTGTGGAAAATGTATGGATATATGGTATTTTCTAATTAATTTGGCTAAGAAGCAGGAAATTTTTCACTTTTAACTTGCTTTGAATGGAGGTTTTATTTGTCTTGCCAAAAAATTGATCTCTAGAGCGGACAAACATGAAGGCTAAAACACAGGCTTCAGCATGCAAGTCAAAGGGTGCCATTATCAACACCAGGAAAGAGGATGGACTCAAGAGAAGGGCAGGACTCTAGGAGCTATAAACCTAGGGCAAAGCTGTGACATTTGCTGCACTCTGAGCACTTTACTTAGCTTCTCTGCCTCAGTTTGTAAAGAGCTTTGGGTGAAAGCTGTTGCATGTGAATGCACAGCAGCATCGCTAATGATTTTCAGGACCATTGTGGTCAGCCTTTCTCTAAGAGCAAGGGAAATATCCTAAGTGCTGTCATCCCTTTTCGTCTTCCCAGAGATGGTTACCATTTGACATAACGGCAAATATCCTGTCTGTTAATTGCTAAATTATAGAGGAAGTTTCTTCTCTTGCTGAGTTCTTTCTTTGTACAGTATGTAACTGGTCACGGTCAGAATAACATCTAATGTTTTCTGCTCCTGCACAAATCATTTTGAGTGTTTGGTATACAAAGTTCCAGGCTTCAGGGAGTGCCAGGTTCACAGTGCCCCATATAGCCATTAATACTTCCTTCCAAAATTTATTATTCTTTAATCTCTCCCATAATATATGAATTACAGTCCCTAGTGGAAATTCCTCATTTTCCTGCATATATCATTTCAGTTTTTGAAACTCTACAGTACTGCCATAGTTTAAGATTAATATGCCACCCTTCTATTCCTTTGAGCAAGAACCGGATCCTAGCTCTGTTACTTCGCATCGCAGAAAGCTTATTTTAGCTATTCTGAGTCAAATTTCCATTTTTATGGGGTTAGCAGTAAGGCTGTTGCTTTCGGGGACTGCTGCAATTTATGATCATGCTTGGAGAAAAGTAAAGCTTGCTCTCCCCATAGGTACCCACTGTTTTGTAAGTGAAGAAAGTAGGATATTGGGAGGGGAACGTGAAAAATTCTGGAGCTTCAGAGAGCTTCCCTTAAGATTATTCATAAGGTGTCTGAGAAGGCAAAGCAGGGCACTGGAAAGGATTTTGTCAGTTGTTCCTTGCAAGGCAGTCTGAGCTGGGTGAACACTTAAACTCTAAGCCAGTTCCTTTGGTGATCATCT